CAAAAATAAAAATCAAGAGCAGAGCTGTGTCCTCCTAAAGAATACACCGCGTTCCAAATTATTATGCAAATTCTATTTAGGTGTCACAAAGATTAAATATTTTGTTTCTCAGTGTAACTCATGGATGGCATTGTGTGTCAGGGCTCTTTTGATCACTGAAAACAATCTGGGACACCTGTGATAATTAGATTGGCCGCTGAGCCCAATTTAAGGAAAAACTACTAAAGGACGGCATTCCACATTATTAAGCAGAGCGCCATTTTCAAGCAATATGGGGAAGAAAAAGGATCTCTCTGCTGCCGAAAAGAGTGAAATAGTTCGATGCCTTGGACGAGGTATGAAAACATTCAATATTTCACGAAAACTTAAGCGTGATCATCGCACTATGAAGAGATTTGTGGCGGATTCAGAGCACAGACGGGTTGGTGCAGATAAAGGCACATTGAGGAAGATTTCTGCCAGATCCATGCATCAGATCAAGAGAGCAGCTGCTAAAATCCCATTACATAGCAGCAAACAGATATTTGAAGCTGCTGGTGCCTCTGGAGTCCCACAGACATCAAGGTGTAGAGTCCTCCAGAGTCTTGCAACTGTGCATAAACCTTCTATTCGGCCACCACTAACCAATGCTCACAAGCAGAAACGGCTGCATTGGGCAGAAAAATACATGAAGACTAATTTTCAAACAGTCCTGTTCACTGATGAGTGCCGTGCAACCCTGGATGGTCCAGATGGATGGAGTAGTGGATGGTTGGTGGACGGCCACCCTGTTCCAACAAGGCTGCGACATCAGCAAGGCAGTGGTGGAGTCATGTTTTGGGCTGGAATCATGGGAACAGAGCTGGTCAGCCCCTTTAGGGGCCCCCGAAGGTGTAAAGATGACCTCTGCAAAGTATGTAGAGTTTATGACTGACCACTTTCTTCCCTGGTACAGAAGAAAGAACTATGCTTTCCGTAATAAAATCATCTTCATGCATGACAATGCACCATCTCATTCTGCAAAGAATACCTCTGCATCAATGGCTGCTATGGGGATAAAAGGAGATAAAGTCATGGTGTGGCCTCCATCCTCTCCTGACCTCAATCCTATTGAGAACCTTTGGAGCATCCTCAAGCAAAAGATCTATGAGGGTGGGAGGCGGTTTACATCCAAACAGCAGCTCTGGGAGGCTATTCTGACATCTTGCAAACAAATTCAAGCAGAAACTGTCCAAAAACTCCCAAGTTCAATGGATGCCAGACTTGTGAAGCTGCTATCAAATAAGGGGTTATATGTTACAATGTAACGTGACCGCTTCAAATGTTTACAAAGTTACAATGTTGTTAAAAGTTTGATTGAAATAGCTTTTGAGTTCGGTAAATATGCTGCAAACACAACAAATGGCAATTTTCAGTTCTTTAAATTCTATAAAGTGTTTTGAAACTTCCTGTGCGGAATAATTTGGCACAAAAATCCTGTTATCATTAGGAGGTTTGTTCAATAGAATGTGAATTGTACTCTTATAGTTGATAACATGAGAATTATGCTGACTGTTATTTACATCAATTATTTAGGTAAATTAGAAAAATATAATTTGCATAATAATTTGGAACACGGTGTATGTATTGTACAAAGCATAGTAAAAATGCCATGGTTACATTATTATCCCATTAAAATCCTCAAAATCCTCATTGCATCCTAAATCTCTGGAGAGATGTATGTATACTATAAATATCAATGGCATTTCCATATGTAGATCACATAGTAATACATCCTACACATGAAACCATATGAGTGATTTGAGGAACCCATATGCACCCTACCCCCAAGATAACTTTGAAATCCAAATTCAAGCCTACATATTTATACCAATGTAAGATAAAGTTCTCCAGTCCTGAGGAGAAGTGTACATGCCACGATCATAAGTTATAATGAGCCAAACAATGGTGACTTCTCAATGTAGAGTATGTAAAGTAAGATGGGAAAGGAGGCTCTATGCAGCTAAGATGATGATATGGCTGTTTATGAGCCAAACTTTAAATCTCTAAAACAACTTGTGTTCCTCTATACATTCAGCTGGAGACTATCCTTCCAATATTTTAATGAAGACTTGATAATAAGAATCAACACAGCACTGTGGATATGCTGAAAACATCAAACACTGCATGGGTCAAATTCCAAACAAATTTTATTTAGAAAATCAGAAATTTTGTGCGTTTTGTAATCCGATGGCACCACCACTGATCTCAAAATTTGACCAACCCTTTAATTTAATCTCGTATTGCTACAGAAAAAAATTTTCATGGCCAAGAATTTTCTTTTCTTTCCGGGTCACAGCTCATGCTCATTTTTCTTTTTCAATTACATTTTCTCTCACGATTCCCCTATCACTGATTAGAAATTCGTTCGTCTTTCAAAAAATTTCCACCATGCCTGATCACTCCAATTCGATGGTCGTTCGAAAATTATGGTGTGAAATTTGAATGAAAATTCTCAGAAAAGATTTTCAAAACAAAACTCTTTTAGAATTCGACCAGTGTATGGTCGGCTTAAGTATAAGCTTTCAAAGCACGCATGTGCCCTTATACCATTGTAATACATCAAACATGGAAGAATTAATCATGAAAAGAATGAGTAGCTGATGATGTCACTTGAATCAAATCAACTTTATTCCACAAGACAAAGCACGCTGATAGTCCCCGTCCGTAGATGACTAAGACTCGTAAACGTGAAACGCGTAAGGGCAGCTGGCAGGACTATCAGTTTCGTCCTGTGCAGGGGTCTTTAGACTGTTCAGTAAGAGAGCCACGTTGTATATTTTACAAATATTTGCAGGCTAAAAAAAATCCTTATCAGAGTTCTCCCCTTACAACCTGGTTCCCATCAGTTTCCCCCCTTACATCAGGATCCCTATCAGAGTCCACCCATTACATCACATTCCCCATCACAGTCCCCATCAGATTTCCCCTTTGTATCAAGATCCCCAGCAGAGTCTCCCCTTATATCAGGGTCCCCATTAAATTCCCCACTCACATCAGGGTTCCATCGGTGTTCCCCCTTACATCAAAAGTGGAGACTATAGATACAGTAGTCTCTGCTGACCTTAACCTCCCTAGCGGTCTGATTATGTCAGTATTTCTGTGCTCAAAGCGGTACATTTTTTTGCATGGAAATATGTAGTTTTTTTATTGTAGGCTGTAATTTTTAGGAATAACTCACTGAAATCTGTCCGAACAAGAGTCTAGTAAACATCCCGGGGATGATAAAACTGGAAACACAAAATCATAAATTATAATTTAATAAATAATCATAAAAAATAATAATATAATAATAAATTTAATTCAATAATATAATCAAACCAAAAACACTGAAATGTGAAATAGAGCGCCAAGTTCGCACATCGCTGAGCTCAGTCGCAGAATCGTTTTCAGTGTCTGATGAGGAATTTCCCCCACCAATCATTATCACTCAATTCTGCAAGTGGTTCTGATTTACTATCGCTGTTCTCTAGCCGGTCTAAAACCGCGTCTGACCTAAAGGGACGCTTTTTGGACGCCATGGACGTTTCTCAGTTTCCAGGCAGAAAGAACAGTAAAAATGCAGGCAGGGCGCCGGACAAAGCACTCGGGACAAAATGTATGTGAAATGGTTTGATACAGGAATGTTATACTATGTGATTTTAGTGAATTTAGTGAATGTCAACCTTACAATTTACAAATTTCCCGCCAGTTCCGTCCCCCGTACGTCCCGACGTCGCAGGGAACAGAACCCAGAAGACGGATGCCGGCATCGGCCAGAGGACATTGCCGGGGACACTGCAGGGGGGACATCGCGGGAGCGCAGGACAAGGTAAGTGCAGAAGGGATCCCAGAGCAACGCTGCAGAGTATTCCCGAGTGTAGCTCGGGGGGGGGGGGGTTACCATTTGTGGTTCTGAAACTTTACCCCGAGCTACACTCAGGAATACCTCCAGGGGGGTTAAAGTGATTTTAAAGTTAACATTTTTGATTTCTTAAAAAATATACCAAAGGTGGTATACTTACCTGCTCTGAGCACTGACATTGCACACAGCAGCCCTGAACCTCCTCTTCTGGGGTCCTCTGCTGGAGATCTGGGCTGCTCTTCTCCGTGTGCCTCTGTGTGCCACCATAGGTTTTCTACTGAGCCTGGCTGTGTGTCTATATACACACACAGAGCAGCTTGTCCCTGCCCCCTCATTGGTTTTGATTGACAGAAGCAGGAGCCAATGGCCAAGCCTGTGAGAGAGGTCAGAAAGGGAAAGAAGACCTGAAAACAGGCACAGTGCCGGATTGGCACAGGACTCTTGGTGGGTGTGGGGGTGGGAACAGCTGTTGAAAGTTTTTTTACTTTAACGGATAGAATGTATTTAGGGTAGAAAAATGTGACTTGAGAACCACTTTAATCCAGTCAATGCACATAGACAATATGCTATGATCCAGATAACATCATGTAGCGGGCTGTAGCTGTGTAGGCCGTAGTTTGGAAGCCCCAGGTCTTGTGGAATAAAGTTGATTTAATTCAAGTGACATCACCTGTGTAGCAGCTCATTCTTTCCATGGTGTACAGGGAGGGTGGACAGGCTCTTTTCTGGCCAAGCACCCAACCTTCAAGAGATGGAAGAAGTCACTAGAGTTTGTTCAGTCAACAATTGACGGTAGAACTTGTGACAGTGACAATACAAATACTGTATGTTGAATTATAGCACCCTTCAATGTATAGATGCAAATCTAGTAAACTATCAGCGCTTAATCCATTCCACAGTTTAATAGAAGAAATCTTGTGGCAATGATGTCACTGCACCCAGGGCTGGATCTAGCCTGTCCAATGTTGGGGTGCAGTAAAAAATATCAGAGGGGCAGAGGATGGGGGGTCAGCATTGCAGAGGACAGGGGTCACTGCTGGCTGGGTAGAGGACAGGGGTCACTGCTGGCAGGGCAGAGGACAGAGGTCACTGCTGGCAGGGCAGAGAACAGGGGTCACTGCTGGCAGGGAAGAGGACAGGGGTCACTGCTGGCAGGGAAGAGGACAGGGGTCACTGCTGTCAGGGCAGAGAACAGGGGTCACTGCTGTCAGGGCAGAGAACAGGGGTCACTGCTGGCAGGGCAGAGGACGGGGTCACTGCTGGCAGGGCAGAGAACAGGGGTCACTGCTGGCAGGGCAGAGGACAGGGGTCACTGCTGGCAGGGCAGAGGATAGGGGTCACTGCTGGTAGGGCAGAAGACAGGAGTCACCGCTGGCAGGGCAGAGGACAGGGGTCACTGCTGGTAGGGCAGAACACAGGAGTCACCACTGGCAAGGCAGAGGACAGGGGTCACTGCTGACAGGGCAGAGAACAGGGGTCACTGCTGGTAGAGCAGGAGACAGGAGTCACCACTGGCAAGGCAGTGGACAGGGGTCACTGCTGACAGGGCAGAGGATGGGGGTCACTGCTGGCAGGGCAGAGAACAGGGGTCAATGTTGGCAGGGCAGAGAACAGGGGTCACTGCTGGCAGGGCAGAGAACAGGGGTCACTGCTGGCAGGGCAGAGGACGGGGTCACTGCTGGCAGGGCAGAGAACAGGGGTCACTGCTGGCAGGGCAGAGGACAGGGGTCACTGCTGGCAGGGCAGAGAACAGGGGTCACTGCTGGCAGGGCAGAGGACAGGGGTTACTGCTGGCAGAGCAGAGGACAGGGTTACTGCTGGCAGGGCAGAGGACAGGGGTCAATGCTGGCAGGGCAGAGGACAGGGGTCACTGCTGGCAGGGCAGAGGACAGGGGTCAATGCTGGCAGGGCAGAGGACAGGGGTTAATGCTAGCAGGGCAGAGGACAGGGGTCAATACTGGAAGGGCAGAGGACAGGGGTTAATGCTGGCAGGGCAGAGGACAGGGGTTAATGCTGGCAGGGCAGAGGACAGGGGTCAATGCTGGAAGGGCAGAGGACAGGGGCACAGCTCCTTCTCCCATGCTTGCACTGCACACAGCTTGCACAGGCAGAAGAGTTCCTCCTCCCCACACAATGCATAACTGAGATCTGTATAGTGTCAGGCTAGGACAGTATAATGTCAAACTAGGGCAGTAAAGTATCAGATTATGGTGGCATTGTGTCAATTTAGGGCAGTATAGTGGCAGGTTAGGGATGGCTTTGGGGGGGCACAACTAAACTCTGGGGGCATAGCCCACCCCAGGACCCCCCTAGATCCGGTCATGGCTGCACCTCCAGTCAAGCCTCCATATGTTGTTATCTCATGCCCTCCTATTGGAACTTATCCCATATGAAGATCCTCCATTGAACCTAACAATGTAGCAAAGATTATTCAGACTGTCAAATCGCATTGCACCCCCAATAGATATGGCAACCACATCCACAAATGACTGTCTGGCACAAGGTAAGCAAACAGTGAGTTATACTCCACAATATGTCCATCTAACATGATGAACAATGTTGGCATGTAGTCTATTTCCCAATATTATCTTAATATGAACTGCCAAACTCCATCTACAAATCGCTCCTCAAAGCCTCATCATGATATAGTATGTAATTCTGCCTAAACAAAGGGGGAGATGTTTTAAATTCAAAGAGAAAAAACATAGTCTCTCCTATGTAGTATCACAAACCAATCATGTGCCATATGGGTGCAATGTGTACATTTTATAGTGCTCAGAATATCCATTATGGGCTTGGATAATCCAGAAATGTTCAACGACGTACAGTAGCTGGTAATGGATGTCAATTGGCAGTAGGACTTGCAAGGGCACACCATAAGCCTCTGACTGTCTTTTCCCGCTGTGGTTTTCGACTGAGGAAATACTTACTCCTGCCTGCAGCAGACTGATGACATCATCTCACTCTAGACAAATCACTAACTTTAGCTCAAAGACAGATTTTTAATAGAAAATTATACTGTCGCTTGCTGTATCTTGGAACATGTTGGGAATTTATTCATGTAGACAAGGGGTCTCCAAACTACAACCCACTACAAGATTTTACAGGGCCTGTAGCTAGGGTCAGTGGTGTGTCAGGGGACTAAGGTCAGCAGAGACTGCCTTTAGTCTCCACTTCTGTTTCAAGGAAGGGCTCTAATGGGGACCTTGATGTAAGGGGGAGCTATGATGGGGACCCTGATGTAAGGTGGAGAACTCTGATGGGAACCCTTATTTAAAGGGAAATCTGATGGGGAATGTAATGTACAGGGTGACTTCCATGGGGAATCTGATGTAAGAGGGGCTCTGATGTAAGGGGGAATTCTGATGGGGACCCTGATGTAAGGGGGAGCTCTGATGTAGGGGGAATTCTGATGGGGACCCTGATGTAAGGGGGAGCTCTGATGTAGGGGGAATTCTGATGGGGACCCTGATGTAAGGGGGAGCTCTGATGTAGGGGGATTCTTATGGAGACCTTGATGTGGGGGTGGGGGGGGAATCTGATGGGGACCCTGATTTAAGGGATAATCTTGATGTAAAGCAGTACTCTTATGAGGAATATGAAGTAAGGTGTGATTATAGTGGGGAATCTGATGTAATGGGGATATCTGATGGAAACCCTGATGTAAGGGGAAACGCTGATGGAGACCCTGCAGTAAGGGGATGACTCTGATGGGGACCCTTATGTAAAGTGGGACTCTGATGGGGAACATAATATAAGGGGTGATTTTGATTGGGAATCTGATGTAAGGGGGGCCCTGAGGTAAGTCTGATTCTGATGGAGTCCCTGATTCCGTGATGTAGGGGGAATTCTGATGGGGACTGTGATGTAAGAGGGAATATGATGGGGATCCTGATGTAAGAGACAACCCTTATGTGCAAGAGTACTCTAATGGAGAACATGAAGTGTGTGTGTGTGTGGGGGGGGGGGCTCTAATGTGATGTAGAATCCAATATAAAAGTGTATTTTGATGGGGACTGTGATGTAAGAAGTGGCTCTCATTGATTTTTTTTCCAGGCCTGCTAAAACTTGCAAAACATACAAATATATATTGTATAAGGTTTGGAAAAGTTTGGAGACCCCTGATGTAGACCTTCAAAGTTACCAAAAGGTCAAAATTAAGGAGCTATTGCACTTACAGGACAAAATCTAATAGGAGTGTATAGTACTTCCTTGCTAGATACACTATATTGCCAAAACTATTTGGATGCCTGCCTTTACAAGCACATGAACTTTAATGGCCCCCCAATCTTAGTCTGTAGGGTTCAATATTGAGTTGGCCCCGCCCTTTGCAGCTATAACAGCTTCAACTTTTCTGGGAAGGCCGTCCACAAGGTTTAGGAGGGTGTCTATGGGAAGGTTGGACCATTCTTCCAGAAGCACATTTGTCAGGTCAGGCACTGATGTCGGGGGAGGAGGCCTGGCTCGCAGTCTCCGCTCTAATTCATCCCAAAGGTGTTCTATGGGGTTGAGGTCAGGACTCTGTGCAGGCCAGTCAAGTTCCTCCACCCCAAACTGGCTCCTCCATGTCTTTATGGACCTTGCTTTGTGCACTGGTGTGCAGTCATGTTGAAACAGGAAGGGGCCATTCTCAAACTCTTCCCACAAAGTTGGGAGCATGAAATTGTCCAAAATGTCTTGGCATGCTGACGCCTTAGGAGTTCCCTTCACTGGAACTAGGGGGCCAGGTCCAACCCTTGAAAAACAACCCCCCACCATAATCCCCCCTCCACCAAACATTACACTTGGTACAATGCAGTCAGGCAAGCACTGTTCTCCTGGCCACTACCAAACCAAGAAATTCCATCGGCTTGTCAGACAGAGAAGCGTGATTTGTCACTCCAGAGAACATGTCACCACTTCTCTAGAGTTCAGTGGTGGCGTGCTTTACACCATTGCATCTGACGCTTTGCATTGCACTTGGTAATGTAAGGCTTGGATGCAGCTGCTCGGCCATGGAAACCCATTCCATGAAGCTCTCTATGCACTGTTGTTGTGCTAATCTGAAGGCCACACCAAGTTTGGAGATCTTTAGCTATTGACTCTGCAGACAGTTGGCGACTTCTGCGCACTGTGCGCTTCAGCATGCGCTGACCCCGCCCTGTCATGTGACGTGGCCTACCACTTGGTGGCTGAGTTGCTGTTGTTCCCAGTTGCTTCCTCGTTGATATAATCCCACTAACAGTTGAGCGTGGAATATTTAGTAGCCAGGAAATGTCACGGATGGACTTATTACACAGGTGGCCACCTATCACGGGACCACGCTTGGAGTCACTGAGTTCCTGAGAGCGACCCATTCTTTCACCAATGTTTGTAGAAGCAGTCTGCATGCCTAGGTGGAAATTTTATACACCTGTGTCCATGGAGGGGATTGGAACACCTGAATCCAATGATTTGGAGGGGATTGGAACACCTGAATCCAATGATTTGGAGGGGTGTCCCTATACTTTTGGCAATATAGTATATATTGCATTGAACTGGGTGAGGAATGTCACCCCAAAATTCCTATTTACCTGGTGATCCATAATAAAACTTATACTCCCATTGGATCCATCACACTCAAAAAGTGAAGTATGAAACAAACAATTTTAGGTGGACATGCTCTTTCATATTATTTTAGACCCTTTTCTCATTAACAATTTTCTCAGATAATATGCCTCAACTTATTTAAATACACAATCTTCGAGAGCACGATCTTGAAAGTATGTTTTATTAATGCAATTCTCAGATGGAGAGCACTAAACATCTTCAAGGTTTAGGTCTCAGAACTTTAACTGAGAAATAAGCTTATCAAGGAAGTGTCTGAGATAATGAGTAGGTGAAAGGTCACCCCGATGAGGACAGAGAGAAGAGCTATATATTTCAGGAGCTGATTATAAGGGTTCTTTCTCCAGGCTTAGGAAACTGCCCTATAAATCTACTTTGCAGAATACCGCACTAAAGGGCAAAAGCCTTGTCAAGCCTCGCAGGTGATTCTTTTTTTTTTCCTCTGTTGACACTTGACATGTATGGGATTAATGAGGAAGGAAAAACATGGAAAGATCGAAGGTGAAGGAGCTTCTTGCATGTGGTATATTCAATAAAACACTTGAAATATTCAATCAATCTTCTCACGGAACCTGTTACCCTTTCACGCTTGGCCGACTTCTAATATTACTTTAAAACCCTAATTTAAAAGAAAAAATCATGAGGCAATTTGATACAAACCACTCACGGATGGAAATTATGGATGTGTAACAGGAAAAGGACTTAGACCTCTAATTCCCTACAAGAGCTTGATGGATGTTAGCAAGATTCAGTTTATCTTGAAAGAAGCATGAGATCATTGCGGGTTGTGGACCCATGGCCATCTATGATATTATTATGTACAGTCCGTGTTAGTTCATGGTGATGATGAGCTCACCTGCCACCCAAGCGACTCTCTTCATGTTGAACTTTGAGCCTGATAGATATGAAGATGTTTTTGGTCGAACTGCAGAATAACTGGAGACTGAGGTCTACTTATCTGAGGTCTACTTATTTTAGACAAGTGTCACAAAAGTCAACCTTCAGAATTAACCCAAACTAGAACTTATCCCTCTTGTGTGCTGGCCGGGGCAAACTAGAAACCACAAAAACCTCTCAAAAGAAAAAGAAAATCAGCCATGCTGCTTGTGTAACATATGTATCATTTATTGAATATAGCAATATGAAAGACACTACGATGTAATTAAAATTCCCATAAAGCTCATCAAGAAGCCCAATGAAATCTAAGTACTTATAAAGATGGTGTATAAACCAACAAGAGCATGTAAAAAAATAAAGAGTTTACTGTTATAATAACA